CTGTATCCACCTCTGGGGCTAAAAGTAAGCCGGATGTGGAAATGAAGGTATTTTTTGTTTTTAACACGAAAGATACATAGCCCAGTGCTGGTGGCTCATACCTGTAATCCCAGCTACTCAGGAGGCTGAGAACTGAAGCTAGCCTAGGCAGACAAACCAAAGAGATATCTTTATCTCCAATATGAAGCCAGATAGAATTAAAGATATAAATCAACAATGGTAAAAATAACTCTGAGGTTGTGGCATTAGACAACCAAAAGTGAAAAATTATGTGACTATAGAAATTTACTATTTTAAGCAATTCATCACTGAACCTCTGCCTATTCAGATGCATGTAAAAATGTAGGGAATGGAAGTGTTCTACAGCCATTCAATGCATTAAGCAACCCTATAAAAATGATGTTATTTCAGTTTCTGTTTGTTGAGCAACAGGATGTTAGCAAAAAATGATAAGCTAACAATAAATACAGCTTATACCCTAAAAGAAAAAGTCCTGTTGTATTCAACTGCTAAGACTCCGAAAAGGTCTGGGTTTTTTATTTTTTGAAGTAAATGAAATTTTGTTTATGGACTTCTCATTTTTCAAATGTTCATTTCCCATTCTGCAATTCCAAGAAAGTTTCCTAGAGAGAAATGTATGCTTTGAAAGCTGAGGTTAGCACGAAGGAGACTCTGGTCTTAATTCTAGACCTCTATCACCCCAATGCCAAGCATGCATGATCTGTGCCTATCTCCATCAGTCTTGTGCTAAAGATATGAGAATGCACCCCCAGCTGATTTTTTACAATCTGCACATAGGCTGAAGAAACATTGGAAATGCTATGCAGTCACTAATTTAGTCACAGGTTGGCAAGCACAGAGAGAGCTGAGCTCAAAGATGGCTATATTAGGTGTGGAAAATACTCCAGCCACTGCAGCCTATGCCTCTGCCTCTAGAGCCAGAACACCCTTTTCAAAGGTACCTGGCATTTCAAGGTGGTAGAAACTATACAAACACACCCCATGGCAAACAAACGGGATCAGGGCATGGCTGGCAAGCAGGGCTCTGGTCCTGTCACTGACCCTAACAAAACAAACATGGGTTTCACAACAGTCATTGCTTAGCAGGGCAGAGCAGTAGGAGCAGGGAAGGGTGGGGGAAAAACAAAAAGTTAAAGGAACTCGAGTTCATCCAAAGAGGCAGCCAGTACTTCTGGGCAGACCTTCGGGGAAACCATGACACTCACTTTTCTCTCAGGATGCAGCTGGCCGAGCACCTTGGCGTTCCTCTAACAAGGACCTGGTGTTCTGTCCTGACAGACACAATTGATACCTTTCTACAAACTCACAAGCTTTTCCCAGAGACCCAAGAACACTTGGCTCACTCCACAGGCTGCCAGTGTGGGTAGATTCACCTGTGTGACTTGGGCACTCTTCCAGATAATTCTCCTTCCAGGTGAGAATGACTTCTCAAATCCAAGACTCCCAAGGCCCTTCTATGTATAATCAGACCCAACCCAGAAGCCATGGCCACTTCAGTCATTTCAAATGCATTTGTGTTCCCAAGACCTCAAGTCTAGCACCAGTTACAACACTGGAGTCAACAGTCCTGCAGGTCATACACCACCAGAGACAACAAATCTTGTGGGTCCCATCAGTAAACTCTGACAATCCAGAGAACTAAGGCGAAGCCTGTCCCCATCCCAGGAGATGAGGGAGCGCCCAGGATGCATTCCTGCTGCATGGCCAGCCCCACCTCTGCATGGCCAGCCATCGAGGCTGAATACACACACACACTTAATTCACTGTGGGCCAGCTATGGAAAACTGTGGCCATTAAGTGCTCCTGACCCACAAGGCACAACTAAGTTCCCCTCTGACACAGTGCTAGTCCTCCTCTATTCCCAGATGACCACAACCCTTGCATTCAGTCTGTCCTGTCACGTGTGCCTGAGCACTGTCCTAAGAAAGCAAACCCGACACTGTCCTAAGAAAGCAAAGGAGATGTAAATAAACACACTCCAGCAAGTTAAACTACACAATGAGGGTTCAAAAGCCTTATATAACAACTATAACTATGGCAAATTGCTGCACATCAAGAGACTAGAACCTGGACCACTTCTGATAGTCAACTAATAAGGGCATTTTACCATCTCAGGAGCAGCAGGTGTTTGTAACAGCAATAAGAGTCTTTGGAAAGGCAAACAATCAACCATGGGTAACACGTAGGCTCACTCACATGATCCCCTCTTAACTAGATAGATGCTCACCAAGGTGAGACCAAACCCACTGCCAGAAAACCTTCTCCCTCCTTACTCTGCAGGCAGGGTTAAAGCCTTAATCACAGAAGAGGCTGGTATCGAAGGGACACACCCAAGATTCAATGGGCCACCCTACTAAGTTCATGTATTAAAAGCCAAGTGTGGGAAAATGATGCAAAACATGTATCAACAGTGGAAGTTCTGAGAGCTGCCCTTTGCCCCACAGCTCATCCTCAAAGGGGGAGGACAGGAGCAGAGACAGGTGAGGAAGCCTAGACAGGCAGGAAGGTGCCGATGGCATATGGGAAGCACCCTCACAACCTGCAACTCCACACTTACTACCAGGCTAACTTCTACAGAAGCAGCAGCTATGTTTTGGTATTAAAATACCCACTTTCTTAAAATCCAGAGGTGGTTGCATTTTTTTGGATGGACAGTGGGCAGAAAAGCCACATGGGAGGGACAGGGACAGAGGAGAAGTTGTAGGATGGTGATTATTCCCAGGAAGGCAGGTAGAGAGAAGAATGGGAGAGTTGGGTGATGCTGAGTGGGTCTTTCAGAAACCAGAGGCTGAAGCAAACATCAATGATAGAACTTTATCATTTGTCCTGTCTGGGTAATGGGTACCTTTACTTTTCTATTTATTTAAATCATCTTTGAAGTACCTCATAGTTAGAGGAAAATTTAAGTGAATTGTAGAAATAAAAGATACAAAGAAAAGGTGTGTTCATACCTAAGCCATGCTAACAGGCAAAGTCCATCTGTGCTGCATTGATTAAATATGATTACCAAGCAACACGATAAATACTCTCGTCTCTGGGAAGGTTACTCCAAGGTCATTCACACTCAAAGCTGATCCCACTTTACAGCTCTCCCTTCAACTGGCACAGCTTCTTATGTCACCCTGGTGATGAACATCTCTGTACATTTTTCCTCTGCTGGATGAAAATACAAGCTCACATGGGAAGCTGTAATGAAGGGTGATGCTGTAGTCCAGGAGTCTGCCCATGGTGGCCTGGCATACAGAAGCTCCACCAGACCCCTGTGACAGTGACACCGGTGCCCATATTCTGCTGACACTCAGAAGCCAACAGCTGTTATCGCGATAGACAGAAAATGCCCCAGATACACAGCCTCCTCCCGGGTCCCTACCAAACTGTCCTCACCAGCCCCAGAGAGTGTCAAGGTAGCCTCTGTGGCCCGTCAGCAGTCTGTCCAAATACCTGCTTGGATATCTGCCTTTCGTGAGGACACCAGATTAGGAACACAATGCACGAAGCCTAAGGAGACGTGCTACCACCTCACCACATTAAAAACACACAAATACCACAGAAGTGGCACACTGCTGAGGCCCAGCCCACAGATAAGAGTGCAGGATTCCTGTTTATTAATAAGACTGGCACCATTGAGCCGTGGCAGTTATTAGCCTGAGCTAAGTCGTAGGGGCTTGACTTCCACAAGGCCTTCTCACACAGCCCACCCGACCATCACTAACTCATTCCACTTTCCACACAACATTTTGAAGGTACTGGTACCTAACAGATTCTCCACAGAACAAAACTGGAAGGTGGGAAGGAGACAGAGGGAAAGGAGCTGGTTTCTGGAGCATTAGAAGAGGGAGGAAGAACGTGAACCAGAGTCATCCTCACCACTGGCATGCCATGGCCCCACCATGACGCTGGTCACAGCATTCCAACCCACACAGCTCTTTTCCAGTGCTGAGTGCCTGCGCCAGATTCTGTACAACTAAAGGGAACTCTGCTCTGACTTTGCCTCAGGACTACTGGAGGTGTACTGGCTTGTTTTGGATGCAATGTGACCCCTACCCAAGCCAGCCATGAGAATGCCTTCCAGCTTGCTAAGGCATGAGACACCCATAAAGGCCAGGCCCAAACTATGAAGTAAATTCAGCACCACAGTGTGACGTTTTGTATGGCTTTAGAATGGAATACAAGTCAGATATACACACAAGATGCCCAGAGACTGGATGTTCATAAATTGACTTCAAGAAAATATCCACATCCAAGGAATCTTAGGAAGAACTGTACTGCACTTCCTGTGTGTAGACAGAGCAACTGTGATAAGGCTCAGAATGTGTCACCCTTACATCATACACTGAACTCAAAAGAAGCAGGAACAGGTGCTGAACAAGGAGACTTTCCTGAGCCCATAGCCTATCAATCTTAAGACAAGTCATTTTGTCAAACCTACCCTTTGGCATCAGTGTCAGAGTTTGTGGTCATATTAGTGTCTGCAGAGTTTTGAGAAACCCTGCAACCTAAAGAGGCTTTCTCCTTAGGATTACAGGATCAATAGGCCACATTTATGCCTAATTCCCACAATGTGGTCTTTTGTTCCCACAGATTAAAAAAAAAATCAGGTAAGCCAAGCATGGTGGCTCATGCTTATAATCCTAGCTACTCAGCAGGTTGAGATCTGAGGATGACAATTCAAAGCCAGTCCAGGCAGTAAAATCCATGAGCCTTTCCAATTAACTAACAAAAAATCTGAAGTAGAGCTGTGGCTCAAGTGGTAGAGTGCTAGCCTTGAGCACAAAAGCTCAGAGACAGTGCTCAGGCCCTGAGTTCAAGCCTCAAGACCAGCATGAAAGAGACAGAGATAGAGGTGGGGGAGGGTAAGGGAAAGGGAGAGGGAGAGAGAGAAACAGACAGACAGAGAGGTAGAGAGAAAGAAAATCAGATATAGAGATTCATGAATGACCTTCAACAAAATACCCACACCTAAGGAAGCCCTCACTCACCGCAGAGAGCTGGCTCCAGGTGGACCTCAGGGGCTTGTGGTGGATCACGATTTTCCCTTCTGACTTTTGTTCTCTGGGCTCGGACTCTTCATCAGAGTCAATGTCAAGAGCCTTTTCTTTGTAGTTTTGATACAGGACTGCATTTTCTGCTAGAAAACAAGGCATCAATGATTCCCAAGCATTAGCTCACTTGTTCTAAACCTTCCTGTTCACATGTTGGCCTCTGCTTTAATGAGTGACAGAAGAAGAGTCAAAGATATTCTATCACTGAAGAATGACATAAGATGTTCCAGTTGAGAAGACCCTGTGTCTGTACCCTGCCCCCAGGGCCTCTGACCTCCTTAGTCAAGCTGTCCAGGGAACATGGCCCCAGTTCCTCCCATCCACCACTCCTTATCTATCCAACAGCATGACTACCGTGTCCAGGTCTGACAGAAAGGAGAGCAAGATACCTCTCAGGCCCTCGGGAGCTGGAATTGCAGTGAAGAAAAACATTAGAGAATGACTCTGCATGCCAGCCACTGCTGCACACTGGGACACGAAGAACAAAAATCTTTTTAAAAAATCTCAGCCTTCATGTGGCAAACTTTGGTGGTGTTTTAGGCTTGGCTATCTGTCATGGTGGGGTGGAGAGGTCTGAGGACATGGGGATGGTAAGAAACATTGTTCAGACAGCCTAAGGCAGTGGACATTTATGACATGACACAGAGGAGTGGGAGTCAGGCAAATCCAGGGAACAAGCAGCTCCAATGACAGGCTTGAAGACTATGGCAGGATCTGCTTGGTAGGCTGTATGTACAGAAGAGCAGGGAGGCCAGAGAGGCTAGCATGTCATGAGGGAGGGGATGGACAGGATGGAGGGGAGTGAGAGGGGAGGAGAGGGCAGATTGTGCCTTGGAAAGAGCTTTGAATTTTACTCTAAGTGTGAGAATAAGCTATTGGAGGCCACAGCAACCTGACATAAATACATACTTACACAGGGGAGGAGGATTTATAACATAAGCCCTGAGATCAGACTGTCAGTATAACCTAGCTGGGGGTCAGAGAGGGGTCAAAGAAGAAAACCCCAGATGAAAAAGTCTGTCAGCAGCAGAGATGCAGAAAAGGAAAAGCAAGTATACAAACTGGGAAGCCAGAGCAAGCTCTAAGGAAGGAGGTTGGTGGGGCTGTGGCTCAGCGGTCTGAGGCTAAACAGTGCAAGGCAGGTTTAGGGAGATGAGTCAGTCCACATCCAACAAGGCTTTTTCTGGCCATGAGGAAGAATGGGACAAAAAGACTGAGCTTGTTTACAGTGTAAGGATTGTTATCTTGCCCTGACAACTAAGTCCACTGGAAGAAAAGATCTGCTTAGACTGGAGAGTAAAATACTAACTACTTAAGTGAGTAATTAGGGTGCAGTTAGATGCCTAATGAAAACTTGACCTGTTACTTAGAAAGAACTCCTGAGATGCTGGGGGGGGGGGGAGAGGCGGGGACCAGGGGGAGCTAGAGGAGGGAGGTGGTAAGAATGGCTACTCAGGTCCACAATTAGAAAGTAGGAGACAGTCAGAAGACAAGGGGGATTCAGGTTGACTGGGGAAGGTAATGGATTTAGTTTGGGATTTGGAGAGTTTGCAATCTGCCTCTATCACCAACTGCACATGGTTTTCTAAAGCCATGCCAGAGGCCATGCAAGGCTGCACTGTTCTCCAACTGTTCTGCATATGAAAACCAGATTTGCAGTCTTGGAAGGTCTTTGCTCAGTGCCAGTCCTCTGACAAGCAGAAGCAGGTCGATGACCCGTCCTTCAGACAGGGACAGGCATAGGTCCTCACTGCTGCCCTGCCCATGCTGCTTTCTAAGCTGCTAAGAATCCTGTATTCTCTGCAGACATGTATGTGAGAAAGAACTGTCTGGGTTCTTGACATTCTTTTTTATTACCCTGTGTTCCAGTTCCCTCCATGATAAGATCTGGGCCATGAGTTTACCTCAGCTAGCTAAAATACTAGATCTCTCTACATAGCAACTGTTAGTCCTAAGACAGGTGTAACGAGTGAATTTTATAAATCAGTCATCTTTACATGCTCCAGTGACAAAGCTATCTTCACAGAAGTTATTTAGGGAATTGTGCTTGCAAGCATCCAGGTTACACAGTTTGTAACTCTGGGGTCTCACATTAGCATTACTGTCCAAGGGTATGGTTTCCATCTTTCTTTCAAGCTTTTAAAACATGAGCATTTGAAAGCATGACAGAAAGTAAGTACAATCCTTAACCGGGGGCCCTCTAGCCCCAGCAGGGAGCAGGGGGCAGCTGACAGACTCTTCCAGTCCTTCAGTGGACACTTCACCCGTCTATTTACAGAAAGCCCACTAATCTGATTAGGGTTCTGACACCTGGTGGAAGCTGCCTTTGTTTTCAAAAGCCTTCATAGAAATACTACAGAGGTAACAAATTCTTCAGAAGATGTGTTTGTCAGCCAAGAGAACTCTATTTCCCCAAAGCTGAAACTTGGTAAGGAAATGGGAAGTCAGCAATGAAAATAAAACCTGGAAATACGGGGAAGAGAATATCAAATCAAAGGAAATGAGACTCAAGGAAACAGGCCATGAGATCCAAATGCCAACTACAAAGTTTTTAACAAAAAAATGTGTAACTTGCTCTTACTTTTTCTGATGTTTTGAAGGAAATGGGATGGAAATTATCTGGAAGAGTTACCAACATATAAAAATGCCAATGTTTCATATGTTATTGGCAATTAGTAGAAAAAGAATCAGCCTCGTTGCACAGCTTTGTAGTATATAATGTGGGAAGAACTTGGGCATATCATTCATCACCTGTGGTTTTTTTTTCTGCAATTGGATTTCTACGAATAATTGATATTCCGCATTGAAGCCACAGTAAAAGTCTGGAAAAGTAAATGCTTACCTTCTCCATCAAACGTTCCTTGTCCTTTCAGCATTTTTTTCTAAGAGACAAGAAAAGCAGGGAAAAAAAAGAAAAGAGAAAGAAAGAAGAAAGCAAAGCAAACTTTGTATGATTGAGTCCACATAAAACAGAGCTATCACAAGTAAAATAACTTCTTTGTGGTTGCACTCAGCAAGGTGGCAGGGCTGTGGTCCCCTGAGGAAGGCAGCAGAGGCCTGCGCCCCTCCCCACTTGCAGTCCTGCTCTGGGGCACAAAAGTGAGTGCAACTCCTGGGCTACAGCAGGCAGTAATACTCTGCACCCTGATTTGAAGTTGTGAGCTAGTCGTTTGTTAAACACACCCAAGGATTAATGGGCAGAAAGTGTGTGTGTGGGGGGGGGGGGGGGTGTTGAACCAAAGGCCACGGTGACAAAAGCACCGAAAATGACAGTATCCCAGATCTTCTGTGACTGGTTTTAAAACTGGTCAGGAAACCAGAAGCACAGCCAGAAGTGACCGAGCAGGCTGACACGGGGGCCAACGCTGACCTGTGCCACCCCCCCCCCCCCCCCCCGCCGCCCGCAAATCACCGGGCCAGGAGACCATCGCGGGGGGCGCGACAGGCCACCCCTTCGGCTCTCTGAACACGAATGGGTCTGCAGCCGATTCTTACACTTGCTGGGAAGCTCTGGTCCCCAGATCTTAGTTCAGAAGTTAGACAAGGACGCTTCCCTTCTTTCCATGAAGTTGCATTAACCTCCAGATCCGGGGGCCCCGCCGCGCGCGCGCGCCCTCACGCCTCACCTTGACCCGGCCCAAGCTGGAGAACTTGTCCCGGTCCTCTGCCACAGCCTTCAGCAGGGGCTGGGACAGTCGGTTCTTCTTCTTGGAGCTGGTGGGGTTGTCCAAGTCCAGGCCACTGACCACGGCCCTCCGGTAGGAGGTGGAGCGCAGGCCCCGGCGCAGGGTCCCCGGGCTGTCCGCCTCGCGCTCCGCGACGTCCGCATCCACGTCCGCGACTCCGGCCCCGGGTGCCTCCGCCAGGCTGCGCACCTTGAGCGCCCTCCGGCGGGGCTCGGCGCCCGGGCCGCCCCGGCTCTCCGAGGCCAGCGCCCTGGGGATGATCTGCCGCCGGCCCAGCTTGAGGGCGGCCGGGCTGTGCGTGCTCAGCACTGCCGCGGGCGGCTCGCGGGGCGGGTCTGGGTCCGGGTCAGGGTCCGGATCCGGGACGGGCGGCCCCGACGGCAAGTCCGTGGACGGCGAGTCCACGTCCCGGCACCTCCGCGGGGGCGTGGAGCCGGGGCTTCGAGGCCCCCGATCCGGGTCCTGCGTCCCCGCACCACCCGGCGACGCGGCGAGGACGGCGACCGGCGCCCCGGCGGAGTCTTCCCCGGGAGTCCGCGGCGGCGGCGGCGGGCTCACGGCGCCGTTCGCGGGCGGGCTTGCGCGGGAGGCCCGGGGCCGGCGGGGCCGGGGGGAGGCGGCGCGGGGCTCCAGGGAGCCGCGAGGGGCGCTGGGCAGCGGGGGGCTCCTGTGCCCCTGCTGGCGGTCCGCCCCGCCGTCCGCCCCGCCGCCCCGGGGCAGAGCCCCCAGCTCTTCCAGCGGGAAGTCGGTGACCAGTAGCCCGCCGGCGCTCTGGTAGGACCGCGGCCGCGGCCGGTTCCAGCTCGGCGGCTGCGGCCCGGGGGTCGCCCGCCTCCGCCACAACGGCGCCGCGTTGGGGCCCCGCGCCTCCACTTGGCTCTCGCCGTCCATGGCGCGGCCTCGGAGTCAGCCGGGCACCGAAGCCCGGTGTCGCCCGGAAGGTGGGCCGTCCCGGAACTCCGCGCCCCCGACTCCGGTCCCCGGCCCCGGCTCCGAGCCGGTCGCCGAGCTGCGGCGGGGACGCGACTGCTCACTGCGCGGTTTACACCGCGCGGCCCAGAGGAAGGCGGGCACCGCCGGGGCGGGCCGACTCGACCCCGCCGCGCCCCGCCGCGCCCGGGGACCACCCGCGCCGCTCGCCCAGCCACAGACCCGCCCGGAACTCCGGACGAGTCCAGCTTCCTCAACAAGTCGGCTGCAGGACGCTCCCCTCCGCTGCCATCCCGCCGGCGGCGCCCCACCTGTCTGCGTTACCCCTTAGGGTGCGCAGACCCGGCCGAGGACCACGGCCTGCAGCCCGTGGCTGGCTGCGGTCGGGATCCAGGAGCGCGCAACTCACAGCACTTCGCAGCCGCCGCCCGCGGCGCCGGCCCCGCCCCGCTGGCAGCCCCGCCCCGCTGGCAGCCCCGCCCCGCTGGCAGCCCCGCCCCGCTGGCAGCCCCGCCCCTAGGCCAGGCCCTGCCCCTGTCCCGGCCCCGCCCCACCCAGAAGCCGTGTGGTTCCAGCGTGTAGACCAGTCCCGCTCCCCACCGTGAGCCGCGCGGTTCCCGCCGCTAGAATAATCCATGCCCTCTCGGCCCCGCCCCCTATAGTCCCCGCCTCCAGATACAGGGCCCGCCCTTTCCAAGTCCCCGCCCCTCGTCTCGGCCCCGCCCCTCCGCGGGAGCCGCGCCTTCCCTCCCCTCGTCTTGGCCCCTCCCCTCCACGCGTGTCCCGGAGCCAGGCGGACCGGGCAAGTTCCTGATGGTTCGAGAACCAGACCCCGAGCTGGTGGCTTAACGGGGACAGGTGGAGGAGGCGGGGTCGTGATCAAGACACTGCGTGGGAAGGAGCGAGGGGGTCTTGACCCCACGTGACCCGGAGCCCGCAGACCTCCACAACGCCGTGTGAGTGCGTCCCGCAGTCCCCGCGGTGCGTGGGGCGGGCGGTCCCGCGGTTCCCGCGGTGACTACAGCAGGCTGCGCCAGGAAGCAGCGTGGACTAAGGAGCAGGGCCCCCGCCCCGTCCTCCGCGCCCTATCCTCCCCGTCCAGGCTCCGACCTCCCCGCCAGGCCGTCCAGGCCTGGTAACAGCGGGGGTCCGGGGCCGTCCAGGCCTGGTAACAGCAGGGGTCCCGGCCCGGAGCCCTGCCCGCCGCCCACCGCATGCGGCCATCCGCAGGGATGCAGCCAGGTCTGGTGAGAGGTCCAGGGATGCAGCCAGGTCTGGTGAGAGGTCCAGGGATGCAGCCAGGTCTGGTGAGAGGCCCAAGTGGGGCCTCTCGGGCCTCTCCGTCCTGCCCTCCCCCTCCTCGCGCGCCTGTGTGCGCACGTGCGTGTGTTGCCTGTGTGCTTGTGTGCGTCCTGGGCCTAGCGCCCCGCGGTGCCCTCCGGCTCCTGGTGGTCCGCTGGAGGAGAGGCTGGGCCTCTGGCGGGCTGGCCCGGACCTGAGCCATGGCTTTGGCTCCTTGGTCCCGCTTCCCAGGAGGCCTGGGGCGAAGAACCACCGCCCGGGGCGCGGGCACTTCCCTGGTCAAGAGCAGCCCTCCCTGTGCATGCGGGACCCTGGCGAGTGCAGGGAAGGCCAGCCACGCCTCCTGCCCTCAGGACACAGTTGATGCGGGAGCCCAAGGCATTCTCTGTCCCACTCCACATCCATCCACAGGAACCTGCCAGGAGGCGTTCGTCACACCCCACGCCCAGTCACACCCACGCCTGTCCACAGGAACAGCCAGAAACCGGCTTTCCTCAGCAGCCTACCTTCAGAACATGTAGGAGCTGCGTGAGATGAGTGTGTGAGAAGGTGGTGTGCTGCACCCAAGCAAGGGTCTAGTGTCACCGGGACAGGACAGCAACTGGCACTGCCTTTGCTCCCCAATGACCCTGCTCTCAGAAATAAGAGGAAACATGGTCCAAGTGATCATTTAAAAAGCACAGTCCTTCTGCATTAGTGAAAAACACATAAATCTGCAAAACTTTAGGAATATTAAATGGAAATTTAAGATTATTTAAATGTATATTAGAATAACAATGTTAATAGGAAAATAATCAGGAAAAAGACAACAAAGGAAATATGAACAGCCTGAGAAGCAGCATTTAAGAGAGGATACCAATCTCCCTTACAGAAATACACTGATACTAAAAATATATTCAGCCTGAGCAATCAAAACAAACAAAAAGGGCAGGGGGTATAGCTCGAGTGGCAGAGCACCTGCCTTACTTAAAAACTTAAAAACTGGCTGTTTATGGTAGGAAGTTAGTTAATGAGCCACACAACCATCAAAAATAGTGGCACTCAGCCTGGGGCTGGTGACTGATACCTGTAATCCTAGCTTCTCAACAGACTGAGATCTGAGGATCAAGGTTCAAAGCCAGCCAGGGCAAGAAAGTCTGTGAGACCCTTTTCTCCACTAAACTACCAAATAAGCTGGAAGTGAACCCACAGCTCAAGTGGTAGAGAACTAGCCTTCAGCAAAAACAACTCAAGGATAGTGCTCAGGCCCAGGGTCCAAGTCCCCCAACCCCCCAAAAAAGTCACAATAATTAATATGTAGTTATTTGTGTATAACTTCCAAAAATGCCAACAAGTGAAAGACTTGCCTCTGAACACATTATACTAATGTGCTTTGCATTTTCTAGTTATTTGCTATCATGAAAATAATATGTATATGTACTTAAAGCTTAGATTTTCAATATTGACCAGATTTCTACCATTTACCAGCTTTACCATTTCTACCTGTGGACACCAAAGCCAAAGTGATCTTTTCGTTTTGTTTTACTGTGAAACAAGTTGCCAGACAGTGACATAAAATACAACTTTTATTAATTTTGTTTCTCATGGGTCTGTGCTTTGGCATTTTTTCAGCAGGAGCATCTGGGTCCTCTGGGGTGGCCAGCAAGCCGTGGCCTATCCTGGTCAGGGCCTTGCCTGGGCCCACAGCGAGCTGCAGCCTTGCCTGGTGGAGGCTGCCACCTGAGTCCACAATCCTCTGGTCCTCAAATGTCCAATGTTCTGGATCAGATTGTGTCCTTGATGCCTGAGACTTTGGAGTCATAGGTCAAAATGGCAAAGAAGAATCTAGAAAGCTCCCTGGGGATTTTTGGAATTGACTAGCTCTCATTGCACAAAAAGAAGTTCATAAAAGGAAACTTTCAACAATGCAATAATGACATACACTGTACAGTATTTTTAAAAACATTTTTTAGAATTTGAGATTTTTTAAATCATCCAGGCCTCATCACTACCTTATGAGGTAAGAACTCCTCTCTTCATTTCACAGGGGAGGTCAGGAAAGCACAGAGAGCCTGTGTCAGTACTACTACACCATGTTGCAATGGTGTGTCCATTTTTCATTATGATATTTGAAATGTAAGCATCAGCAGTTGAACTGGCTCCTTTCTCTATTTTTCACAACTCTTTTATAATAGGTTGATCACTATAGGGTAACAATCAGAATTATCAACAGGAAGAGCAAGAAGGGTCTTCCAAAAAGGAAGAGGACCCCAAAAGCCCAAGGAAGGACAAGGTACATGAAGAATCCTGTTAGTGCCTCAACTCACTCGACTGCTTGCTGGCTGCAGGCCCAGGGCTAGCTCCCAGTACAGTGGTGAAGAATGCTGAGGCTTGCTGTGGTCCTCCAAGAAAGACCAGCCTGGAGCAGTGTCTGTGGTTAGCAACACCGCTCAGTTCATCCATATCTGGGGTGGGAAGCCCAACATTGAGCTGAATTTCATGTGAATGGCAATAGCCAGCTAATGCTCTTTGCAGGGACACCTTCACACTTGATGGACGTGGACTCCACCTTGCAGGGCATATGGAAAACACACCCAGAAAGCAGAACAGCCTCTACGGCAATGAAAAAGAGGAGAAAATAGGGCAGAAGCTAGAATGCGGGGGAGAAATAAGCAGTTTTAGTTTCAGTACTGGAGATGTTTGTCAGGAAGTCTGGAAGTGGGTTTCAGTTTGAGTTTACCACTTTCCAGCTGTGGAAATGAGGACAAGTCATGTGACCCCCAGGACCACGGATTCCTCAACCACAAAAGTCGTGCCTCCTTGCCAGCACAGCTGGGGAGCACTGGTAGAGATTAGACCAATTTAGATGTGGTTGGCCTCGTGGCCCAGAAAGCAAAACACAGAAATTAGGAATGGAATCGGCCTGGAAAAGACCTGGCCAGGTAACTGCAGAAAACTCAGTTTTCAGTTAATGTTCCCCTTGCTTGGAATAGCGAATATAATAAAATCCTGTCATTTCTAACTCCAGGGTAAAAAAAAAAAATGATTATAATGAGAAAAGGGTCAGAATTCATGGAAAATGGCCAAGAGAACTCTTGGTGGGAACCTAAGGGAGATCTTAAAACCTGCTGTAAGGAATGGTTTTGTTCTGTCTGGTCACCTCTGCCCAGAGCAGCACGCTGTTGGCTAGCCCAGGATCAGGGAGAATCGTTCAGATTTGATGTGGTGAACCTCCAAAGACTGTCATTATTTGGAGTGGTTATGTTTCCAGCTATACCACAGTGTTAGTGGAGAGAAAACTCTGCAGGGCTGCTCTGGGAGTTTTTTGAATTACATGGCTTCCTCTGAGCAGTAACTTTTTTCATTTGTCTCTCCTCTGAGCTCATGGTATGGCTGGAATAGAATCCTCAGTTCTTTCAATAGTCATTTCCTGGTGGTTTTGGTTTTTGTGTTGTTTGCTGTAATTTTTTTTGATGAATGCTTTTGGTAAAAAGAGGCAGAACAAAATTTAAAAATTCTCTCTTACACTCAGTCCCTGCTTCTCTTCTTGCTCCTCTTGAAGTCTCTGCTTCCTTCCTAGGTTCCTCTTGAACCCAGCCATTAAGTATATTGTGTTATGCAGATAAGCTTAGGTATCCCCATGGACTGGACCGTAAACACTACTAAGAAACTGTGAAACT